GGGGGGAGGGGGAGAGGTATGAAGGTAAGAAGAGAAAACTGCAGACAGATAAAGCAGTTTAAAAGTGAATATCTTTACTTTTATTTATGCCGTTTATCTTTGCTGYCTTATCGTTTTTGTATCCTTATTATAACTGTTTTTTTCTGTTTCTTTTATTCCTGGCTCTAAACCGTATTGTGCACGAATTTGACATGCATACAGTCCGTAAATAAAGTAGAATTTACAGGTCATGGTGATCGACGAATAAAGACGATAAGAGAGCGAATTGAATTGCCGGTTACACTCTATTGCCCTCGAGCAATTAATTGTTTTAAGACGAGGCATTTGTGTCGATACAATAGTTGTAGAAACTAAAGAAAAAACTAAGAAATTTAAAAAATATTACCTTAGAGACAAACATTTCTTTTTTTTTTTTCTTTTCTAATAACTGATGTTTCAGTACAGAAATCAATTATCAAATCATCAGCAAACGACAAAGACTTTCCATACCTTATTGTTTCTTAATCGGCCTAGTACCCAAGGTCGACGCATTCAAGTATACCTGTAAAAGGGCGACAACAATGCATTCCTTATCTTTCATATTTCTGCCCGGCAAAACTATGGTGAATATCTTAATGTAATATTACTTYAATCCCTTTTTTACAGGAATTCGCATTTAAAAGAGTTACCAGCGACGAATGATTGTTCTGGTGTCTATCGCAAGACAGACGAGCATTATTCAAAGTCTAATGATGTGAGCCAGCCAACTGCCACCAAAAGCACTCTTCAACAGTTTCCTGAACTGGCTGCTCGCTACAAACATGTTGTCTGCGGAGACTTTAACACCAATTTGTCCTTGAAGGCAAAGATTGTAAGAATATTTATAAGTTCTACGTTCACTGGTAAGAATTCTTTGTTTTCACTTGACTTCTAAGACTAAGAAGAAAAAAAACTTGAAATTAATTATAAATACTATAACTCAGAGGCGGATCCAGGGAGGGGCAAAGGGGCACTGTACCACCACCTCCCCACCCCCTCCCCCACGCCTCTTCAGCCTTACTGTTGACTCTATACTAGAAGAAGAATTTCTTATGCAAAATAACATAAGTAACTTCCTTACGGAGGAMCAATTGCTCCTGAAGTTGATAGATCCTCCCCATATTTTACAATCAGCTGCAGCAAAATACGTTTACAATTGTTTTGCTCTGTGCTCTGCGTAGTGAAAAAAAGCAACAACAACAAAACAAATAAAAATCAATAMTTGTATRATATTGAATAAAGATGATTAGGATTAGTAACGTATTTTATCGAAATAATTATATGAACATTTATATATACAGAATATATATGTACGTATGACGTGTATGTGTGGAATATGTGAATATAGATATTATGCACATACATAAACATACGTATATATTCGTAACTTATTTGGATCTAAGTTGATGTGCAACTTTGTACAAAACGCCAAATAAAATATGTGTGTCTCTTTTATCGAAAAACGAAATCCATAACGAAACTATGGTGACTTAAAAACGTTGAAGAGAACAATGGTTATGTTTCTCGAAGTGGAAAAGAAAGCATATTTTTTAATATGTTTTCCTCGACAATACAGAATATATTGCTACCGCCAATTTCGTTTGCTTGTAAACTTGTTTATTTTTGTGATTTCTGTATCTTTTCCCTCTAACCCTGTCCAGCCCTGTTTTGCGAGCAATGCGCTTTTTGATTTGTCGGCATAAATGGATCTTCATGTCAGCCGGAATGCAAAATCAAATGGGCTGACTTTCGACGTTTCATCCAGTTAGTTTCATTCAACCTATTTGCAGCTCAGGATATATCAGGGTAGTTTTGAAGACTTTTCGTTTTCTAGGGAAACAAATTAAAAAGAATTCCTTTGGTACAAAGCTACAGGCAGCGGCTTTTATTATTTCATTCAAATAAGAGACAGTTTATCTGGTGAAACATGCGAGGTGGCCAAGCAATCAAAATTGTTTTTCTTTCCATGATTATGTCTGTAGTAGCCGGTCCTCTAAATGACTATTGCCTCTTATTATCTTTGRTGATTAATGTATTTTGTAGATACTGCAGTGGAGCGCAACGAATTAATGGTTAAAGTTTTTCCGGCACTAAAGACATTTTGTCAGGACAAGGGGTATGAATTTCAGGTGAGATGCTATATATCTTATATATTGCTGTTATTACAATATTGATCGGATTCAACACGTAGAACTGAGAATCTGASACATGTCGAAATGCGCAAACTCGTGAATCCACCAAATGGGAAATATATCAATGTTTAATGCTCATGCTTTTGCGATGTAAAAGCAGGCAATTTCTATAAAAGTAAAATATCGTCTGAATAAATAAATGCAACATTAAAGGCAGCTGATTTTCCTTTCTTCCAGGTTGTGGATATGCGGTGGGGTGTACGAGAACAGTCAGCGGATGACCATACTACRTTAGATTTATGTCTAAAAGAAATTCAAGCTTGTCAGGAAATATCTACTGGTCCAAATTTTGTGGTAAGGATCCACTAATGTTGACCCCGGCCCCAATTTCCATCCAGAAAATGCWAATGTCCCACCCCTAATGTATAGTTTTATAGACAGTCCGCCCGAATTTCAACATTGTGTGACCCACTCCTTTTTCCTTTTTTTTTTTTCTTTTTTTTTTTGCCCCCGAAACCTAGGTTGCTGATAATATGTTTATTCTCTCTACTTCATTATACACAACTAACGCATAATTTATTACTACGATACTATGTCTATTCTTTGYGTACATATTTACGGTGTTCAACTTACCTATAGAGAAAAAATATCGCTCTGGGATCCTCACGAGTACCCTACATTTCATATACCGGCTGTGTTACCAGCGTGGTTGGTCCTTGTAGTGTAGTGTTAGCACATCGGACTAGAATACCGAAGACTTGGGTTCGATTCCCGCAAAGGACATTTGATATTTTTCTCTTATTCTTTCTATCTACATATCGATTGATTGTGATTGATATTTGCAGACTTTCCTTGGTCAAAAATATGGTTTCCGTCCATTTCCTCCAAAAATTCCTAAGGCAGAATTCGAAATGYTCTTTTCTTCAATAACAAATGTATCAGATCAAGCACTTCTTCAGAGGTGGTTTCAGTGTGACTACAATGCAGTTCCTCCAAAGTATTTACTTCAGGTAAATAATGAAAATGGTGCAGGTTGTTTTTAATTTTACTTCACYAACATTCATGTTCTTACATAACTTTTCCACCAAAAAGCCGTGTGTTGCATTTGGATTCTTTTTCCCTGGTAGGTGCTTTACAACGAGCGGCTAGGGAACCCCATTGCACAGACAAATATTTTTGTGTCTTCAGAATGCAATAGCTTAAATTTAAACTGATTTGAAAGTGTCTAACATATTTTCTTGTATTTTTTGAAGCCAATCAGTTCGTTCATCCCTGGTTACCTTAGTTCTGATGTAAATGAGAGGACCAAAGCTTACTCAGAATGGCAAGATGTGTTTAAAAGGTTGCAAACTGTTCTAAGACAGGCTGCGGTGCAATCTTTACAAGACAAGGAAGAGATCCACAAGTACTTTATGTCAGGTCATTAT